CTACAGTTGCGACTTTCTATCACAAAATTCTGACTTAAAGGGTTAGTTCACCCAAAAATGAAAATTAAGTCATTAATTACTCACCCCCATGCTGTACCAACCCCGTAAGACCTTCGTTCGTCTTCGGAACACAAATGAAGATATTTTTGATTAAATTTGAGAGCTGTATAACTACCACGTGGCTCAACTATATGTTTATCAAGCGACGTGAATACTTTTTGTGCGAAAAAAAAAAAATAACGAGTTTATTCGACTATTTCTTTTCTTCCTTGTAGGCCAGAACGAGAATTCCTTAGATTTCCACGACGCATGCGCGAGATTTGCGATCTGCTCACACCAGCTTAGATCGCAATTCTCGCGCATGCGTCGTGGAAATCTATAAGGAAGTCTCGTTCTGGCCTACAAGGAAGAAAAGAAATAGTCGAATAAACTCGTTATTTATTTTTTTTTCGCACAAAAAGTATTCGCGTCGCTTGATAAACATATAGTTGAGCCACGGTAGTCACTTGGGATATTTAAACATTTTCTTCATTGACTTTTTGGGCCGTCAAGAGGCAGTCCCTTAGGAGCCAATGTGGTAGTTATACAGCTCTCAAATTTAATCAAAAATATCTTCATTTGTGTTCCGAAGACGAACGAAGGTCTTACGGGGTTGGTACAGCATGGGGATGAGTAATTAATGACTTAATTTTCATTTTTGGGTGAACTAACCCTTTAAGAACTTCCAACTGCCAGTTTAAATCTTGCAATTTTCAGAAAAAAATTTAATTGTGAGATATGCCTAAAAATGTTACGTTTAAATGTTATCTATATAAAACACTATAGGTTTAAATATTATTTTCATGCTGTTACAGTAAAGCTATATGCCCCTATGAACTGGATATGTGAATGTTATGTAGATCTATTGTTTACATCATATCGAGCATCTTCGATGACGGTATTCTAGAAATATGAAGATTTTCCATTTCGATTCTGACATCCAAAGGCACAAGAAGACATTTCTCTTATTCCGTGATTTTGCCTATTTTCCTCCACCTGTTACCACTGGTTTTCCGCCACCACAATGTGCGGGCACCAAATGTCCATGCAAATGACCTGTCATTTTGTGTGTGACATCGCCAACTACATGAATAATACAGCATTTTTAATCGTTTTCGCAGATCTGTGTGAAACGGGTTGGTTTCGACAACGTTGTCGTCTGTATGTGAAAATTTTCAAAAACGCAAAAGGTGTTTTTAGTACATCATTGTTATGCATGTACCCCTAGATCAGGCTGGATGGGTGTTTCCTCTACATTCATTCTCCCGTGGCGGGCCGCCACACTTAAAATCCTCCCGCCACGGTTGCAGCTTCTCAGTGACGTCCGATATTCTGCATAGTATTATGTTATTTTGTTAAGCCCCACTAAAGGCATAAAAAACTTTGTAAAGCACAATCAAGTTTTCACCCTATATTCCAAGACTTCTAAAGTCATTGTATAATGTGTAATTTTAGTCGCTAAGTTAAAGTTAACGGAAAGTCATCTCGCCTCAGTCATTCTTCATTCAGAATTCAGCGCGTCGCGTTCGTTTGCGACACGACGACACTCTCTTCAAGGTCAATATTCCCATTATTATACTTTATTTGTAGATAAAGCATAAAGTAGATGGTTTTCATAAAATGACTTTATCTTGCTGGAGTGGAGTTTATTGCCCTTTCACACTCCCTTCTCCCGGGTGTATGTGAGATTACAGCATAGAGTCGAGAGAGTGCTATTGTTCTTCATGCGCACTGAAATTTAAAACTGTTAAAAGAAAAGGCTCAAAAAACTGTTGCATATAGAATACACTAAGCATTAGTGCTGCACGATTAATCAAATCGCAATCGTAATAGCGATCTCAAACCTATGCAATTATATAACGCAAAATGCCGCGATTTTATATGAAATAAACAAATTAGGGCTATTAACGCAGCATCTCTTCATTTTTGTCATCCTTTGACTAGTGTTACACGATCCCGCTCTTATTCGTGCAAATGCCTTTTCGCATTTTGCACGACAAGAAGTGAAAAGCTGCCTGTGAATGCCCTAAATGAGACTCGCAGAAAGACGCGCGCCATAATGCGCATGCACTGACGCGTGCCAGAATACAGTTCTCTTTCGAGCTTGAACGAACAATAGCACACACAATTATGCCAAAATGTCGTTTTGTCGAGTATCTTCATAACGTAAGAAAAGTCTTATGGACGAAAAGAGTTGTGCTATGAGGCGCATGTGAGATCCGCGTCTCGGCAACGGGTGCTCTTAAAGGGCCAGCAGCGAATAAAGCGTTCTGTCAGTAAAGTTAAAAGAACAAAGGGAAATTAGAAAATTACTCACTGATCTTGACTAAAGAACTTTTGTAGCTTTAATAAGGATTATTCTATATATAATTTATAATTCATGCAGCGCAGACTGTTTGATAACTTTATTCAATTTCTGTATCCTACCTGTTAAGACAGGAAGGGCACAGGTAAATATGGTTTTTATTATGGGTTTATGTGGGGATTGTTTGAAGTTCACTTAATTTAAAAGTTGTTAAAAAAATTTTTAGCCTAATAATTTTTTTAAAAAAGTTGATAGCTTTCACTGTAATGATGGTTTGGTTGGTTTATTGATCATTATAGGTGTTATCAATCATTTAGTTGTTGTTTTTAGTTTGAGTTGAGAAATAAACATTAATACACAGAATGATCACTAATCTGTGTGTGCATTTTACTTTAGAACCAAGCAAGTTGGACTCATGAAAGCATTTTATTATATCGGAATCGCATATCACAATTGCAATATTGACCTCAGTAATGGCAATATGACATTTTCCCCAAATCGTCCAGCCCTACTAAGCATATTATAGATCTAATCCCTTCGCTATGTTCTTTTCAATGTGAAGCGTTGCGTGCTGTGACTTGGTGTTGCTTCAAGTGCATCATTCTGCACACGGGATGCGCATGATCGATTATAATAGAGACAAGGGGGCGTGGCCTAAGTGAAAATATCACCCTTTACGGCATTGGTCCTGGCTTTTGTTCACACAGCGCGCGTTCCGGGACTGATCCCGGCAATGTTACTAGGTCCCCAACCCGGGATCAGTCCCGGTATCAATCCCGGGTCGTGTTTGCATTCACACAGAAGGCGTTCTGGCAATTTCCCGGGATCAATGCGCTGTGTGAAAGGTGCTCTTGTTTCCTCGTTCCTCCGTCCTCCATCCTATGACCCGGAAACCGATCAAGCTCCGCCATCTTGAAGGACATCTCAATTCTCTAATTGGACAGTGAGGAACGAGATCTGAGGAAGCTTCCAGAGGAGCGATGAGCGAGGATGCACAGGTGTATCCTACGCAGAAGTCTTTCTTTTCGAGAAACCTGCCGAGAAGTACAAATTCGCCTTCACACACTCTAAAAAATGCTGGGTTGTTTTAACCCAACTTTGGGTCAAATATGGACTAACCCAGCCGTTGGGTTAAATTTTTACATTACATTTTTAACCCAACATTTCGGGTTTGTCCATATTTGACCCAAAATTGGGTTAAAACAACCCAGCATTTTTTAGAGTGCATCTGTCACAATCTTATTTTTGCTTTGCAGTTTACATTATACCTTTGCAGACTCGTTATGGAAAACAACAAAGATGATTTTTTTGGTTAATAACTATGGAAGCGTATTGCATTCACTTGAGGAAAAAAAATGTACTCTGTTTTTCTGAATTAACGAGAAAATTATCTCAGAATTAAGAGACACATTTTTCTTGAAAAACATTTTTTCACTTTTTTTTTATGAATTAATGAGTTACTCATAATTTTTTGATAATTAAGTCATTAATTCAGAAAGACAGACCAAAAACTTTTTTCCATGAAACATTCTCGTAATTTTGTGATAATTAACTTGTTAATTCAGAAAAACAGAGTAGATTTTTTTCCTCAAGTGAATGCAATACGCTTCCGTAAATAACACCCTTATTCTAGTTAGATTTTATATACATAAACTTAAATTTCTGAAAGTGAAACCTAAGTTCTGTGTATTTCACAATGAGTTTCTTTCTTATACAAATGCTCTTAAATGCTCTTTTCTTTTCTTCTTTTCTGTAATGCACTTTAGTGCCTGAACCTACTGTCATAATTATTTATTTTCGTTGCATGACATATTGTTTAATAAAAACAAATTTAAAAAAAGAGCTGGTTCAGTGGTGTTTGATTAGGGGTGGAGCAACCCCAAAATAATGAGTTTAATTTCATTATAGGGAATGCTTGGACAAAATGTATATATCCTGAAAATACAAAAGTCTCTTCGTAAAAATCTATGCAGCATTAAACATTGCAATTATTATTAAATCTTTGTAATTTTATATTTGCATGTGTAATTTCATGTTTCTATATCCGTGATTTGATATTTACAGCATGAATTCCCCAACAGTATTTTTGCTTTCTGACAGTATTATTAGACCTTAGACTATGCACCGAAGATAAGCTATGTCAGGTGCAGCTTCCGACTTTGCATTGTAGCAGACCGTATTACTGACTTCATCTTTATCTATTACTTTAATCTAACTACAAATTTTGAAAATGTGAATATAGAAACTCCAAATGTTTGAATGAGCCAGTCCGTGTTTTCCAGCAGGCTCGGCGCAGAGCAGTGGAGAGCTGGAGGAGACGCTTATAATGCCATGCTGGAGCAAAGGGGCTCCGGTAGGGGTCTAGTGCACATTTGCGCACGTTCACATTGGCCTCCGTGGGAATAGAACTTTGATATTAAAAATAAACTTTTATATATAAAGTGAAAGTATATTAATGTCTCTGGTCACCAAACATCACCAGTTAAAGACGAACTGGCGTCATATTTCTCTCTTACAATGCCTCAGTATCGTTTTCACAGCCCGTGCCCACTGCCCACCACACACACACACACACACACACACACACACACACACACACTTCCACTGACAAGACAGGAGCCGTGGAAAGAGCTCCTCCAAGCCCAAATCTAACGGTGTTATTGAAAGGGGAGGAATCGGTGTGATGTGGGGCAGTGGATGGGTACAGCAGCGCTGCCTCAATGAATAATGGAGATGGGCATCAGCATGCGTCTCTAGTCTCTGCGAAAACACGGATGCTGGAAATCAACCCACAACCTTTTCTGCTTATTTAACCGCGACTCTGAGCATGGAAACGGGTCTGGTCGCGAATCATCAAGTGAAAAATGTTGGAAGCGGAGATCCCCCTCCTTCGCCTCTCCATCGCACACCTCCACAGCAACAGTCGCACGCATTCCCTCATTCCCAGCAGCAGCAGCGAGCCGTTCACAACCACAACAACAACAGCAGCAGCATCAGACCGACACCCGTGCGCGGAGATTCGGGGGATCGACAGGATGGAGGGGAAGAAAACGCTTTGGAGACGCAGGTCGATCGCCATCCGCGTTTGCTGAATACAAGTGACGAGGAGGATCGCTCGTCCAAACCCGGGGGGGAACGGATGGGCAGCAGGTACGAGCACTCCAACTTTGGACCAACGAGCAACAATAACAACAACAACAACAGCGGCGGCGGCGGCGGCGGCGGAAGCAACGCGTCCCAAAGCGGGAGCAGCTCAGTTTCTGAGTTTAATCATTATTACGGGAATGGAAGAGGAGGGCCTTGCTTTGATCAACATGGCGGACAACAAAGCCCTAGGACGGCTTTAATGCATCAGGCACAGAGCAACATGGATCAAGTGCAAAACTCCCACGAAGGGTACCATAATAATCCATACAACCACTATCCCAACTACCGGCCGGGGTACGGTGGCGCTGGATACGGTATGATGAGCCCATCGCGGCAAGGGAACATGATGGGCCCAGGTACCAATTCGCCCACTGCTGCTGCTGCTAATCATGGCAAGGCTGCTATGGCCTCTGTTGCCCCGGCTCCCGGTGCCAATGTTGGGGGCTTTCAGAGGTTTCCCGGACAGAACCAACAGCACCCTTCTGGAGCGACACCTACGCTGAACCAGCTCCTGACATCTCCGAGCCCGATGATGCGGGGATATGGCAGCGGCTATCAAGACTACAGTAACCCGCCGCCACAGCAGCAGCAGTCCGGGATGGGTTTGGGGAAAGACATGAGCTCCCCGTACAGCCCCGCTGCCAGCCACAGCTGGGGGGCACAGCAAAGAAACATCCCGTCCATGAGCCCCGGGAATAACGGGAACAGCAGAGCTCAGGTGAGCGTTTTAGCGCACGTAACGTTATGTGTCAAGCTTTTCATCAGGTCTAGCTGTGGCCTGATGCTATCCATAACATTAGCTTTCAGTATCCTGCTATTACATTTATTAAACGCACTTTATCTATGTTAATGGTGAAATAGCACGCCGAGGATGGGTTCTCCAAGTGTAGCTAAGATTATCCCGGGGTTTGGGCTTGTATGTGGATGTTGACAGGCAGCAGAAATGGTCAAGTTCTGCCCAAGGTGACTGTGCTAACGGCGTTAGCATGAGTTAGCCTGCGCCGAGGCTTCATTTCTGCTACAAGAGATTCCCGAAACAACAATCAGAAATACTGGGCTTCTTGTATTCATATACACACATTATAATATCACGGAAGTATCACTGAGAAATTAATGTCATGATATTGAATAAATTATCGGCCGTGGTTTCGATAAAGGGCTCGTTCGGTGCCATTTAAATTTACGGAACGTTCTAGCATCGCGCCGCTGCTAAATAAAACTGTCTGCTTGCGCGTTTTCTTCCCGATGTCAATTGGGGGGAAAAGCGATTGTGTGGTTTAGTTATACTGCCCGGATGAAATTTCGATGTACTTTTCAACGTATGTTTGCCTTAAAGAGCTGTCTGTCTGAAACGAAGGGCTAGACGGTGTTTTCAGCGCAGAGCGCTACTGATTAGCATTGTTAGCTGGTGTTAACGCCATTGCGCCCGCCTGCCTTCACTTCATTATGCAGGAATTAATTAAAGTTTTCGCATTCACCTCATTGTCTTGCTATTTTTTTCAATATTATATGTACTGGTGTCCTAAACGCAAACAAAGTGTAAAGATAGTATACGGTGGTGTAGTGACGAAAGCTGTAACGTTATCTCAAAACCCAGCTCGAGACAATAATGTATTCGTCTAGGTCGGTGGCTCACTAGGTTTTGGCATTATGATGCCCCAAATGCTGACTATTTAGCCTACTTATTATGTTTTGTAACTGTCATCCGTAATTGCTTTCTAAATGGGAAGCATACTGCTCTAAAACCCCGTCCTGGTTGCAGGCAGTTATAGGCAATTTTTGAGACCATAATATAGAAAAATGTTGTCTAACTAAGCTACAAACTTGGTTTTTAGATACAACCTTGGGTTTCAAAGTCCAGCTGGCCAAATCACAGTTTTTCACTTCGATTTTAGTGATAAATTGACAAAATCTAATGATAAACCTGACAAATCTATTGGAATAGTTTAGCATATTAATATTCATCCTGCTAAATGCTGTAGGTTTTGTCTTTGTGAAACAATGAACACATGCAATGTTTTGTTTGGTGTAAATGGGGGGTTAGCTATTTATAAACAATATGTGCCAAATGGTATTGTCTATTTTGTACGCATTAATTTCAAAATCTCTATTTGTGGACAAAGGACAGTGGCCAAATACTCAAGTGTATAGTTTATAATATGCAAGTGGCAAAACCTGTCTGCTTTCAGTTCTCCAGCATCTTATGCGATCAGATGCTTTTTGGCCGCGGGCCCTCGTCTGTATGGATGAGCGGTCCTGACCTTCACACATGCAGATTAGCCATGCTTTCATAGTGGCACATGAAGAACATTTGTGCTGGATTGCCCAGGGTAATCCCAAGGCGAGCCCAGGCAACATGACTGGAAGAGATGCCAAGAAGACACCTGATATCCCTCACGCCTTCCATTCATTCTTGACCAATTTCGTACAACACCCTGAGAGCATTTTGAATCTACCTTGGCAAATTATACAGTTTGGAATAAAGGATATTGAAACCTGTAAATAACCAGTGTTGCTAACTACAAGTAGTGATACTACTAATTTAACAATTTGTTTTAGTAGCTTGACAGTAGCTCAGTTGCTTTTAAAACTGTAGCTTTTCCAGTTGCGAACTTCTTTTTCCAGCAAGTAGCGGTGTAGCACGACATTCAGTTTTGCGTTTTGAGGAACCTGCAATGTATTGAAGCGGCGCAGTGTCTTCTTATTATATCGCAAACTAAAACTGTGCATTACTGCCATCTATTATTAGCCTATAACACAATTCTAGCAGCTTTACGGTTAAGTCAAGTCACCTTTATTTATATAGCGCTTTTTACAATACAGATTCATTGTTTCAAAGCAGCTTTACAGACATAACAGGAGAATAATTCCTGAAAGAATCGCCTGATGATTACATAAAAGAAGGGTGGGTTCATTTTTCACATGAATCGACTAGTAAAGGTTACATTTTTGTATAATCGATGTAAACCAAAGATTAATCGCTGTTTGCGCGAAGACTTCAAGCACAAATTAAATGAAATATCTATTTCTGTTTTAATTACAATGAAGAATCAGTGTTTCCCAATAATTACTTGGACTAATCTGTACCGCCACTATTCCCGTAATCAACCTAAAAGATCACAAACATTGTGTTTTGCACCATTGTTTTGGCAAAGCATCTGTCAATCTAACAAAAAACCAATTTGCGATATAACTTAGTGCGCTGCTCATCACTCAGCAAAGCTGTGATTGATTTAAATAAGGTATATAGCTTAGTTTGTTGTGGTAGGTTTCACTTTGATCACGCAATAACGGAATTGGGACGTACTACATCCGCCATGTTGTTTCTGTTTCTGTTTACGAATGGAAAATTCCATTCGTAAATCCTCTCCCGTGGCCTCATGGGGTAGTGAAGTGTCCATCGAATGCACACTTTAGAAGTAGTAGGTCATCCAGGGTCATTTCGCCTTCTGTTTTTAGAATTACCATCTATTCAAACATACTATTCTGTTGGCATACTGTTTTTCACACACTATATGCCTATAGTAGGGAATTGTTCGCTTTTGGATGCAGCATGTATCTTAAAGAGTCACTCCACCCATTTGCATTAAGCTTTCCATTGTTAGAAACCCAGTCAGACTATTGAAATGGTCGTGCAACACTTTCTCATTGTCCCCCGAGATGAGAGAAATCTGCTATTTACCTTTTTCACTTCCTCCAGTCCCACAATGATGCAAAAATCGTCATTTCACGTCATTGTAGGAGGAAGTGTAAGAGGGGGGGATTTCTGTAAAAACTACAAGCACTGGTTCCCACCCTTTCAAACCTGCCCATAGGGGGGTGAGCCTAGTGTGCAGATTAGACCTATCACAGATCAGTGCCGGTGTGTTTGATTTCACCGCAGAAACTTTTTGAAAATATGGACGAAGGTACTGAATACGCAGACAGATTGTTCTTGTTCTGTGGCGAAAGCTGAGTAGTAGGGGTTACCGTCCCCTTTTTCCTAACTGAATTCATTCCGATTGGTGAATCTGTACTGTTTACATGAACGCTAAACAAGTGATCGGTTGATGTGCGTTTTAACATTGCTAAGAAAATTCCCGCTCCTGCGTGAGAGATACAACACCGATGTGTCTCACAGGTGTCGCTCAACGGTAATCACGCCACCGGCCTCGCGCCGTTCTCCCACGGCCCTCACTCGTCCTGCTCGCCACAGTAAACATGATGAATGGCGACTGTAGAACGCAAAAGCCGAATCCCGGACATTTTGGGGTGATCTCGAAACACATTTTCGGGCAGACTCCTCACGGAGAGTCACTAGTAGCCTAGACTTGTTGTTTAACGACTGCGCTCTGTTACCGGTAGGCGTGGCCTCTCTTAGGGCAGCGAAGCAAGTGCATTCTGGGAGTTGTTGTCTTTCATCCACATAAGGCAAAAATACATTTTCTGGCTTTTCTCAGTCTACAAAGCTCCAAATTCAAAAATAATTTCACATTTCTTCTACATAAATGACCCATTTTAAATACACATTCATCTTTCCAGAGGTGAAGTATATCCCTTGAACTACTTTAACTTATAAGTAGTTTGTACTCGTCGTCACTCATCACTTTTGTGTCAACCTCATCATAAACTCCAGCAATGTAGCCACAGTATTAGTTAGAATGTTTTTCTTTCCGAATGAAATTGTTGCATGATTTTTGAAGGAATATTACTGTAATCGTTATAACCTTTTTATAAAACGGATATAGTTCCTGTTTTTCTTGCTGAGTGGTGAATTTTTTGCATTTTTGCTAATAATATAAAATAAAATGATATTAAGTGTTGCGCCACACATTTTTTGATACGCATATAAACTGAATGTTTACAGAAGCCTTCGATCAGGGACAACGGTTGATATAAAATGGCAGACTGGTTGAATTACACCAATGAGTTTATGTTTTGTGTGACAGATTTCAATTCTTTAGACATACATGAGGATGATGTTGACATTTATACTCATTTGCATTTTCAGAGAAAGGGCATTATGAGAATAACTTGAGTTGTTAATGGCTTATCTTCAGCATGAAGTCCATTTAAGCGGTGCACTTTCCTCAGGCCTCCAAGAGTGCGTTGCTCCGCCACTGGCTCCATGCAAAATGTAATTAGTGACAGAAATTCACCAATCCAGTATGTTAATTTGTCTGAAAGGTTTCACAAGCCCTGTGACAATATTTTTTTAATATTAACTTGGTGTATTTCTGGTTTCAACATACACACAAATATAATTCCCAAAATACTATTAGTATTTTGTGTATTTACTGCCCCTGATGCACAAGTTTACACATTGTTCGTTATCTCATCAAAAATCTTGCCGATGCCAAAGATTTGAACAAAAGTGTTATTGATAGTGTTGTTCAAAACTTTGGCATCAGCAATATTTTTGAACGTTTTGAAGTCACAAAGCTGCATGTATTTGACAAAAAAAACAGTGATGTGTTTAAAATATATCTTATTTTAAGATATTAATGTTTTAAATTAATGTAATTTATTCCTGCGTAGTGTAACACGATCCTACGGAAATCATTCTAATGCTGATTGGTGGTCAATAAACAATTCTTATTATTATCATCAAAGTTGAAAATACAAAATAGTTGTACTGCTAAATATTTTTGTGTATTTAAAATGGGTCATTTATGTAGCAGAAATGTGAAATTATTATTTTTTCAATTTGGAGCTTTCTGGACAGACAGAAGCCAGAAAATATATTTTTGGCTTATGTGAATGAAAGACAACAACTCCCAGAATGCACTTGCTGCTCTGCCCTAGGAGGCCACGCCTACCGGTAAGAGAGTGCAGTCGTTAAACAACAAATCTAGGCTACTAGTGAGTATCCGTGATGAGTCTGCCTGAAAATGTGTTTCGAGATCGCTCAAAATGTCCGGGATTCGGCTTTTGCGCTTTACAGTCGCCATTCATCATGTTTACTGTGGCGAGCGGGACGAGTGAGGGCCGCGGGAGAACGACACGAGGCCGGTGGCGTGATTACCGATGAGCGACACCTGTGAGATCCACTGGTCTCGTATCTCTCACGGAGGAGCAGGAATTTTCTTAGCAATGTTAAAACGCACATCAACTGATCACTTGTTTAGCGCTCATGTAAACACAACATTCAGATTCACCAATCGGAATGAATTCAGTTAGATTGAAACAAAAGGTGTGCATGTGAACATTGAATGGCGACTGCAGAAAGTAAAAGCCGAATCCCGGACATCGACGGCCGAACATGTCCAGGAAAAAGAGGATGGTAACCCCTACTACTCAGCTTTCTCCACAGAACAAGAATCTGCTAGCCTAGCTTCCAAAAAAAAAAAGATGGCTGACACTATGTGTTCATTCTGTGAGTGAGATCCCACCCTCTATGGGTGGGTTGAGAACATGTGGGACAGTCTCTACTACTGACTGTTGTCTTTAGCCTTTGGCCAAAAAATCCTCTGATGACACAAAATGACAATTTTTGCGTCTTCTGAGGATTTTTTTCCAGACCAAAAACTACAGAAATCTCTCGCCTCAAGCGGATATTAGGGTGGAAAGCATGGTAGTTTGAAAATACTACAGATTTTCTACTAATAGAAAGCTGAATGCTAAATCCTGAAGTATCTCTTTAACCATTTTAATAAGCAAGAAAGCACATTATGCCAACAAAGTCAGTAAGCTGTGACTTTTTTAAATTATTATTATTTTTTACAGTATAGCATGACCTTGTTCTTAGTTGCTGATTTAATGATGGACTTGATTTTAGTGTGTCAATGTAGAATAAATTAGAGAAGAAAGTAATTTATGGTTATAAGATATAGACTTACTGTGACTGAAGCCGTAAACTACATCTTGAGTAAGAATGACCTGGAAACTTCCAACAATGTTCCACTATGGCCTAATGGTGCACAAACTAAACTAGACCAGAGCAACTCTAATTTGACAATATAGTTGTCTAGTCAGAGAAAATTGTGTGTGTGAGTGTGTGACAGCACAGCACTCTGGCATGACTGCTGACGCTCAAAATGTTCATTTATAGTGGCCTCCCAGGCTTTCTCAAATTGGTCACATTTTCTGTAAGTGCTGCTTCAATTGGCCTGAATTTGGCAGTGGCATGAGAAGATTAGCTTGGATGGCTCTCAGTCTTTCTGGCAAAGATGAGACACTTGAGAGAAAACCTGACCCCCCTCCCCCCCCCATATCAGTCGATGGCACGTTGCCCCGAATCTCTCCATTTACTGAACTGCTCAACCTTATGATTGCTATTTGTATTCCAGTCTTCTCAGGCATAATAGTCGTATAAATGTGTGACAAAGACTACCGTACGTTTGCTATTCCGACTATGCCGTACGTTTGCGTACCGACTATTGCTGTTCTTCATGCTAAGGTGTTGACACCTTTCTCAACAGGTGTCACCAATGGACCCAATGGCCATGAAGCGTTCACAGATGTACGGGATGGGCAACAGTCCCTACTCTCAGCCGGGTGGATCTTATCCAGGACAGCCATACGGATCACCCACTCCTCACCGATACCCAATGGGAATGCAGGGGCGTGGCCAAGTTGGCATGGGAGGGATGCAGTACCCCCAGCAACAGGTAGATTTAATGATTTTCAGTGTTAAAGAAATGTTAAGTCCCTTTTAGATGCAGCGGTCACATGCAGCTCTGACTTCCACTTACTATCACGGAAAGGCTATTTTACATGGTTGATAGAACCAGCCTCGTAATGTCATGTGCTTGGTGCTTCGGTCCGTAGAGCTCTGTGCATTAGGAAATGTTGAAACGAGTTATGTGAAAAGGGTCTTTGTTGTTATTTTTAAATGCACAATAAATCACTTATAACCGGGCCTGTGGAGAATTCTACTGAATGTGGCTCTGATTTAACAATTTAAAAACATCTGCACTTATAGTGTGTCCCCCACACATGAAGATTGTCATGTGCTTGCCCTTTGGATAAGTAAATCGGTCATTCCCTTGTCCAAGTTCATTTTGTCTAAATATAATTTATTCTGAAACAATATTCTTATCGGTGTTCTATCAGATTTGACATATTTAAATGTGTCATATTTACCCTGTGGGCATTTTATTTTTCATCTTTTAATTTAAATTCTTAAATTGGATCAATAAATTAAATGAGAAAAAGACACTAAAGGGCTGTTACCAATCGAATTCAATCATTTACATATTACTATAACTATAACTGTGTTAAATATTTTTAGAAGAAACACAAATAAGACATTGTGGGAAAAAATGTATACTTTTAAACAAAATCCACTTGTAGGTGGCGAAAATTACCCATTCATAAACGTGAGTGAGTCATTGAGTCATTCCAACGATTCATTCAAACGGCTGATTTGTTCAAGAATGAGGCAGTTGTTTATGAATGGGTTATTGAATCTTTTACTCAACCAATTCATTCAAAACACTGAATCGTTCAGTAATGAAAGACAGCTGGGTTTTGCGGTGAGATGTGCAATGGTTCTGCTGTAATTTTTTAATTAGAACAATTTTCGCTGCTGAAATAGTACAAAAACCGTCAATATTGCATCTAAAATGTAAGTGACTTAAAGTAGTTCACTTTATAATAATTTGCTCACCCGCATGTCATCCAAGATGTCCATGTCTTTCTTTCTTCAGTCGAAAAGAAATTAAGGTTTTTGTTGAAAACATTCCAGGATTTTTCTCCATATAATGGACTTCAATGGGAACCAAACGGTTCAATGTCCAAATGAGAGTTTCAGTGCAGCTTCAAAGGGCTTTAAACGACACCAGACGATGAATAAGGGTCTTATCTAGCGAAACGATCGGCCATTTAAAAAATAAATAACAAAGTTTAAGTTTTAAAAGCACAAATGGTCGCCTTGCTCTGTTCTGTGATGAGCGTTTGTGACTCTTCTGTTCGAACTCGTTCCTCAAAATGAACGAATCTTTTTCCGAGTAATCATGACACGAAGGGTCCTAGATAAGACCCTTATTCGTCGTCTGGTGTCATTTGGTTCCCAATGAAGTCCATTATTCTGCCGAAGGGGCGGCAGTGGCTCAATGGTTCATGTAGGTTGTCTACAAACCAAAAAGTTGGTGGTTCAATCCCCGGGTTCCACCTGACCAAGTGTCGAGGTGTCCATGAGCAAGACACCTAACCCCAGCTGCTCCCGACGAGCTGGATGGAGCATGTGGCTGACACCGCTGTCGGTGTATGAATGAGTGAGTGAATGGGTGAATGTGAGGCAAATGTAAAGCGCTTTGGTGTTTGGCATTGGGTCTGTGAAAGCGCTATATAAATGCAGTCCATTTACCATTATATGGAGAAAATCCTGGAATGTTTTCATCAAAAACCTTAATTTATTTTCGACTGAGGAAAGAAAGACATGGACATCTTGGATGACATGGGGGTGAGTAAATTATCAGCAAAAGTTTTTCTTTTAAAACTGAACTACTTCTTTAATATTGTCGTATGAAATCAGTCACATTTTCAATCGTGATGGTATTCAGGAAGACCGCACTCTTGGTCATGTGATGTTGCTTAAATGTTTAAATGTTATAAATGTTATAAATTCTCTTTCACTTGCCCCTTCAAAAAAATCCACTTGTCCCAGACAAGCAGACAAGCGTTAATGACAAGCCCTGGACCCAAAGAAACGGCTTGACGGGCACAGTTTTTAGACCTGTGTTGAAAGGTTTTCAATGGAAACAGGAAGTTGTGGGATGACATTTTGAAGGGTCTTGCCTAGAGATGCGCCAGTCGACGGGCCATCGATCGGAACCGGCTGGGTTTTGCTCCGAACACACGATCATCTGTCTACTCTCAGAGAGTGAATTTGCATTAGCATTCAGTCCGTCTGCTGTTCGCTTTGTGCAGGTATTGTTTAGGTAGAATAATTTTACAAAGCTGAAGTCGTACCATTCTGTTTTTGCTTTAATCTTGAAAATATAAAATCTAATTGAAATCAAAAACAACTGGCCATGCTACATATGTAGCATCTTTATTGGATTGTGATCAAAATTCAGTGATTGCCTCTTCATTTCAAATGGCTACAGATCATTATTTTTTGTTTAAGGCTGTGTGTCCGCCAAAGCGTTTTTCCACATGCCTGGCGTACGTTTTCAATTGTTTTCAATGGGAGCGCTGCGTTTTTTAAATGCCATGAGCGTAACGAGGAGCTGAGCGTTTTTTTTCACGCTGAAGCGCCGAGCGCCCAGCGTTTTTTACTGGTCACAGAGAGTTAAAAAATGTTCAACTTTCGATAAAACGCAGTGCTTACCCAGCCGTCCAATCACAGTGGAGGAGGGGCGGGACTAAACCACACTGGCCAACTGTCACAAAATTCTTATTTCTTTCTGTACAACGACATCAACCAGCAGAGCTAACCGAACAAAATGGATGAAAAATAGATTTTTAGTATGACACAAATTATCTGCGAAATCAGTTATAAATAAACTGTGCTGCAGATATTCTGTTTCATAGTAACGAAACGTCTCAACGGAAAAAACGCAGCGCCGCCAAAACACTCTCAAGCGCCCAAAGCACGGCGTCTTCAGCAGAGCATGTGGTGTTTTCAGCTGGCTAAAAACGCTTTGGTGGACTGGACACACGGCCTAAGGCCAGTTTGGCCGCTGATAGAGCGAATAAACAACAGAGTGCAGTTTTTTTTTTAATTCAATTAATTTTCTCTACGGGAATTGCTTTTTTAATGATACCGTAACACCGTATTTTTTTGGATTTAGGACAACTTTGAATTAAATTGTTTAACCAACAAACAATATTAGTTAGAGGAACTTAAGCTTTTATAACAAACACAAATTAATATGATCCATTTCACTTAAAATCCACAGCTTAAAAATTGTATTACATTTTAAAAATCGCTTTTCAACGAATTGGTATAAAATTTTTGCCTTTTGCGGCAGTCGCTATGTGAACACACAAAAAAAATTGTGCATAAAAAAAAAGTAAAAAAAGTCACTTGCGTCGTTCGTGGTCAAAAATGACAGCAATAGAAAGTGAATGGGAATAATATCATGGGGTCTTTAGATATAATTTGTATGCTGGCTCAGATCCCAGCTCCTTTTAACACAGAATTCAACTTGCTTTTCTCACAATCGGCACAAAAGATGAAAAAAGAAGTGTTTCTTGTGTGATGGCAATACTTCATTTTTTTTTTTACCATACCAGAATGTTTTTATTCTCCCCAAGCTGGCTGCCACATGAGGGTCTATTCTTCTACGAAATCTATCTTCAACTACCAGAATTAGCAACACTGACTCATAGCTCTCAAAAAGATATAGCTACGGCGCTCTTCATGCTGTTGAGTCCACAGGAAACTGAAGTGTCCCACAGGCTGACGGTCTGAATAGTGGCGGCCCGAGGGGAAACGCAGAGTGCAGAAGGAACGACTCTGTTGTGCCTGTCAGCGTGGAGCGACAGCACTCCCAGTGTAGCAGAGATGTTGACAGTCTAATGCGCCGCGTGTCTGTCAGAAGAGCTTGGCAGGCAGTCTGGTTGGGCTGGGCCGTCCTATTCTGGGTACAGACTGCCATGCTAAATTTAGACTGGAAAGCTGGACTGTGTTAAGTTCAGCACCATTGCCTCTGAAATGACGGGAATTGAATCAGTAGTATTGTACCTAAACATGTTAAAGTCTCTTCCACATTACTGAGAATGGTTTCATGCTGTCTTTAAAGTATTACTCTAACCTAATCTTTTCGTTTGTTTAATTTTTGCCAAAACGTGAATGCTTAAGGAAGAAACGCGCTTCACGTAAACGTGAATGTTTGGCAAGCCACTGAAACTAACATCATGGCAAAATAATTTATTGTTGAAGGTTTGAGATTGGAATCTGATATTGAAATCTGACATTTCTAGCTTTTTTAACCTAAACCACTATTGCTAGCATGGCTTCATTAGCATTACGCTAGCCTGTTAACTAGCCAAATTTATTGACCGCTTGTCTGTAGCAATGTAGCAATTCCAGGCCTAGTTATAGCAGTTACGCATGTACAATAATGTTTTTTCTCAGTATTATTTGAATAAAGAAAGTGATCAATTTGTACTTTTCTTCAGGTAGCTAGTTATTAACATGTTGACAGATTAACTAGCTTAGCTTAGCAACTGCCATCGAGATGAATGGTGATGCTAACGGCCTAGACTTCTCCATCTATTTGTTTTGACACAAATTGGGAAAACAGCGGCGCGTGAAATCGAGTGTTTGGGTTCACGTACTTGAACGTCTTTTCGGACCTTAGAAACACAAACTGCTATTTCAGCTCTCGGCCACTTTCTTTTCATTACCTCCAGATCCATTACACTGATCTTTGGTCAGCTATACCGACACAAGATCAGCAGGACAGCAGTCGTGAGCAGTTTCCTCCTGTGATTGCCCCTGGGTACGGACGTGACCTTTTTAGAACGAAAGATCAGAATCAGCAATCTCCTCCTGGCACGGAGGAATGCAGGAGAGGCACTAATCAAGGAAGACATCACCGAATGTGGCCAGCACATAATGAGATCATTACAGGGGAGAGTTTTGGGGTAATCTCTAACCCGAGGGGTGCGCCATGCATTTGTGCAGCTGTTAGTTGTCAGTGTTCTCGACTGAAAGGGATCCTGTAATGGCTTTTATATACCAGGAGACCCAAGATGACCAGAGGATGGTGTGTGTGTGTGTGTGTGTGTGTGTGTGTGTACCTGAAATTGGATGTTCATCTGGTCTGATACCAGGGGAATCCTGCTGTGTTATTTATATTGATCTTCTGTACAAAAAAATACAAGAAGACAACGCTTAAAACTCAGAGGAAAAGCACCATTTTAAGGCAGAGGAAAAATGGAGACAATGTCAAATATACTTACGAAGAACTGTGCATCAAACTGGTCGCCTTTCGGGTGAAATTTGTTGTTCTAACATTGAAATTGAAAATCATTGAATTGATTTTATTTTTATATTCTGCCGTTTTTGTTATACATAACCATTCATTTGGCTCAAATGTTAGACTTGTCATTTATAAAAAAATTATTATTTGTATTGTGAAGTTGTTTAATTCATGTTTCCATAGACATTAGTGTGGTTTCTAAGGCTTAAAAAACATTTTTAATACATCATACTATAAGCAGTTGTGCTATTTTAAATTCACAAAGGCATATTTGCCCAGCCGGTTTAATATGTGGTTTATTTACTTGTGTTTAGGTTACTTGTGTGCGGCTCAGAGCGGCTTATTACAATACATAATACAGTGTTGCTGAAATCATATGATTACTAACCAAGTATTATTCCCTCAGTGTTATTATACTATATATGTATTTTATGTAATTCGAAAGACTTAGGTCTTTGCTTAGGTCTATTTTTCTTAATAAAAAAAATCGGATTACTTGATTATTCATCAAAATATTCAACCAATTACTCGATTATCCATAGAAATAATCAACCAATTACTCGATTATTCATCAAAACAATCGCCCAATTACTCGATTATACATCAAAATAATCGACCGATTATTCACCAAAATAGTCAACCAATTACTCGATTATTCATCAAAATAATCGTCCAATTACTCGATTATACATCAAAATAATCGACCGATTATTCACCAAAATAGTCAACCAATTACTCGATTATTCCCCAAAACAATCGCCCAATTACTCGATTATACATCAAAATAATCGACCGATTATTCACCAAAATAGTCAACCAATTACTCGATTATTCATCAAAATAATCGTCCAATTACCCGATTATTCCCCAAAATAATTGCCCAATTACTCAATTATGCATCAAAATAATCGACTGATTATTCACCAAAATAGTCAACCAATTACTCGATTATTCATCAAAATAACCGCCCAATTATTCGATTATTCATCAAAATAATCGACTGATTATTCACCAAAATAGTCAACCAATTACTCGATTATTCATCAAAATAATCGTCCAATTACTCGATTATTCATCAACATAACCGCCCAATTATTCAATTATACATCAAAATAATCGACTGATTATTCACCAAAATAATCAACCAATTACTCGATTATTCATCAAAATAATCGTCCAATTTCTCTATTATTTATCAGAATAATCATTAGTGACAGCCCGTACCCATCCCCCCGTTTGCTCTTTTGTTCAGTTAGACACTGCAGAGCACAGTCATGGCGTTAGGTGCGTTTAATGAGCGCCTGTGAGCTCAGGTGGACGCGGAGCAGGTGTGTGGCAGGTGGCCGCTGGTCCTGACAGACGATTTGAGGACTCTGTAAGAGGACAGGTCCTATCACAACACAATCAGCAGAGCCCTCTCTCCCCCATGAGGCCTCTGACCATCTGACCGACACTCACCTGCCCCGCTGTCCACGTTTCTGACAAGCGCCGTACATGGCAGAGAAACGGATTAAATGTGCTCTTTGTGTTTGGACACAATCTCTTAGTGGGATTTTGGAGCAATTCCGCACTGTCCTGTTAAATCCTGCTGTTTTATTTCAGTGATGGAAAGACTGGAAATGCATGGCTTTTATCCTTTGACATTTCCCTCAAATGACATAGACGGTTACAAAATACAAATCCTAAAGAAAAGCTGTCTAAGTTGTTAAAATGGGGATTTATATATATTCACACATTGAAAATAATAGGGTGGCACGATATATCGGCCATCATATCGGTATCAACCGATATATGTTCACTTTTGATGTTATCGTTATTGGCCCAATAAGAAACTTGGCTGATATATTAAAGTCGATAAATAATGGATTATTTCCTTCAGCTGAGACACTTCAGATGTGCACTGACAGAATTGCTTGAAATATGATTGGAATCACTTAAATAAATGAAAATACAGTTAAGTGCAACATGTGGAGTGCAAGTCTGTCATACAGGCTGCATACAATTATGAGAACATTATAATTGTGTGTTTGGGACATGGTTTTTAATTGTAAGAGACTTCTGATTTGTAATCAGGTCCTCAAAAATTACATACAAATTTTGATTCAGATTTATCCAATATATCGGTTATCGGCTTTCAAATATAAAAATTGATTGGTTATCGATATCGGCCAAAATGTTCATATCGGTGCATCCCATAGAATATAATAATATATAATATTCTATAGTTTTTGTGTGGCTTTTTTCACTTTATTGCACTGAAAGTGACGAGAGAGAAGGAAGCAATGGGGAGAAGAATATTGTGGAACAGGAGATCAGGAAAGATTTCAATCCGGGTCTCAAACTCGGGACAGGCGTTGCTGTCCACGAGGCTATGGCTTCAACTTACTTTCTACTGGAAAATGAGACCAAAAAAAACTTGATTGAGAAAATTATTTTTGCAGTCTAGATTAGGGTTTGTCCTTGCTTGACTTCCGTTTCCTCATTAAAGAAGCTCAGAGAACACGGCTCTCAACACAATTCCCATCCGAGCCTCGTGAGGGTATGCGCACGTATCTACGCTGACATACTTTTGCATGTATTAGAGAGATGAGCGGGAAAAACACATCATCATGGTTCGTGGATTTGTTTTCTGTGTATGAATGACAAATGAGAATTACAGCGGATGAAGGGAGCGGGTAACGGGGGGCTCAGATGGGAGGACAGCGTGCCAATAGCAGCTGTTGCCTTGAAAAACTCTTACATAAGAGCGTCACAATAACAGCTTGTCGTGAATCAAAGGAGGGGGAACAGTTGTGCATTACTAAAGCACTAACACACCCACAGGGACCCTCGTGATCAGATGTCCCCCATCATCCCTCACTGCAGCAGAATTAGGTTGTCGGCCCCGTTTAGGGGGTTGTTGTGCTCATCCACAGATAATCAAAGCGACTCACAACTAACGGTTATTTCGATTAATCTGTCGATTATTTATTTGTTTAGTCGATTAATCGGAGGAAAAAATCAACTGTAACATTTGTTTATTATTTTCATTATCGATTATCATTTATTTGAATCTATTTTTTTATTATCTTTTATTATTATTATTATTATTTATGTTAAGGACTCGCAACTGAATTTTGAGAGCATGTTTGGTTTATATGTGGTGTATCAACTGCAATGCTGCGGACAACTAGTTGTCTGTTGCCTGAAGTGAGCACTTAGTGGGATATTATTTGCTGTCAGTCACTAATGCTATATCTGTCAACCTCTCTCAGGCTGAAAAATGACAGAAAATAGCAGCATAGTGTGGTCGGAGAGAAAAACATAACACCTGTTAAGTGTTTCGGTGGAAAAATCACAATTGGTAGATCCAGAAAGATTTTGACCGAATATCTGAGTGCAAAAACAGAGCAGGACTTGTCAAAAAACAGTGCTTGATTGAATAAATAAATAAAATCATTAGACACAATTCAATTTATAATTAAATATAATAAACAAAATAAGCAAACATAATATTTTTGTAAACTAAGGCATTTTGTTTTTCGTAATAATGAAAAGTACAATTGCAAATTATTCTGATAGGGCCAGATTTACTAAACAGGGCAAATTACTGTGAGAGCGTAACTACAAAAAAGCCCAACCACAAAAATGTTTGTCAACGATCGTTTTTCCCTTGACTTAGATGAGGCGATTTTTCATTTTTTGGTTCCTCTGGCAAACTCGACCCCCCTCCACAATTAAAAAACTGAGCGATATATTGAATATCACCAAAAAGCACAAAATATGTTGTTTTTTTTAAGCTATATTGTCCAGACCATCTGTTCATGCAGGTGTAATGCGATGCTCTCCTGTTCTGCGTGTAGTACTGGGCAATTTGAGAGTCACACCTGTAAATAAATGGCTGTCAATCAAAACCACCACCTATTCCACAGCACTGTGAGAATCATTTACTCCTGACTTAAGACGTCACGCCCCAGACGCAGAAATTTCAGAACGGATTAGCATTGTGAAGTAGTCGATTAATGTTCCGGGGCGGATCACCATTTTAAAAATGCTTCAGAGATGAATAATAATCGTCCTCCCTGCCGTGACATGCCATGTGAAGCACTTGAGAAGGTTTTGAGATGGTTGGTCTGTGAACGAGTGCTGACTCTCATGTTTGTGTCCAGATGCCGGCGCAGTACGGGCCACAGGGGATGGGCGGCTACTGTCAGCAGGGGCAGCCGCCGTACTTCAGTCCTCCACAACAGCAGTCCACAACCCCCTCGCAGCCCCCATACATGCAGCAGCGCCCTCCAACACAACAGGTACGCATTTACACTACTACATCGCTGCTATGTGCTATGGTCCTCGTTCTCTCTGAAGACCCTCAAAAGTTTTATTTTGGGTTTTTGCTACATATTTTTTTGAAACGGAGTCTCTATTTACACTTGTTGGCAGAGGCTATTTACATTAAAGGAGTAGTTTACTTTAAAATGAAAATTACCCCATGATTTACTCGAAGGACTTCTGAAACAAAACAATTTACATTACATTTGTGTTAGAATCATATTTATATCTTTATAATCTCAAATATAGCTTCCGTCCAAACGAACATGGAGTTAAGTGTAAAGCGCAACTTATGCGAGTAATGTGACACACTGCTGATATACAGTATATGCTATGCCATGACCAGTGTTGTGTGTTACTTTTTCGGATAAAAAGAAGTGTAACGCGTTACTACTGAAAATTTGGTAGCGAAACGTACTTCCTTTTTCAATTCGGCAAAACGTTACGTCATTTGACAGCGATCGCCATCTCCGTGAACACCTACAGAGAGCAATGCACATAATGGATTACATAATCAGAGAGTAATCACCACCACCAGCCTGCACAGGGGTAACAAGGAATGGTGGATCCATGTTCTCATTCTTTTTAATAATTAAAAAATAAATACAATTAATTTAAAGGTATAATATGCAGGATTTTTGCAGTAAAATATCCCAAAACCAATAGGACAATGTTATTTTGTTTAGTTGATTACTTACGATATCCCAAATGTTTCCAACTATTTGTAAATCGTAAGAAAATTGCTATTTTTAACCAAGGAAACGGGGCGTGTGAGCAGGGGTGAGGAGTCGCCAGTCAATGACGCCATATCTGCGTTACCCTCCAGTTTCCGCCAGGTTTGACCTCATACTGCAATAGTTACCATGGCAACAGACGTTTACAACTGGGTCAGTTATGCCCGTTATGCCTTGAAGGACCCTTACACTGTTGTTGTTTTGTTCAAACATTATGGACCATGGCAAGCAGAGTTTGAGACAAAAAGAGGACTAAAATGAAGATCAACATCTTTCGAGATGCCATGAGCTCCACGTCCGCGACTAACTTTGACTTGACAGAGATGCGAGTGTTACATGTTACTTTATTAAACTGGTGAGCAAATGTTGAGCATGGTGAGCAAACTAATCAATGTTATTTTGTTCAACATGATAAAAAGTTAGAATATGATCTGTATGTTATTCTCTAATGTTAATCTAACTTAGTCTCATACAGCCAAGAAACAACTTAACTACTAGGGCTGGGTAATAAATATCGATTTCTCGATATTAATCGATTCTCATTTTTACGAACCGATATCGATTCTTAAGTCTCAAGAATCGATTAGTCATCCTGTTTCATTTGAATGAATGGGACATTGTATCGCGGCTGCGCGCATTCAAAAAATCGCAATGATCTTTGTCCTTTGTTACTATTGATATGAAACAAAGTCTCAATTTCCAAATTACGTCCATTTCCTTTAGAAATTCAAAAACATAAATAGAGTTTTGGCGCTGTGGCGTGAGATCGCTCTGGCGCAGCTCTAGAGAAGCAGCAGCGCTGATCTCTCTTCCGGGTTAATAATACCAGTCACAGCGCGAAATAAACATGAAGGAGCATCTGAAAGTGTGTTAAAAGATAGAGTACAACTTATCGAAATCCGTATCATGTCACATTGATTCGCTCAATCAGCGTTTCAACCGTGGAAAGACGTCAGTTAAACAGCTTGTAATCAATGTCTTGTCATGTATCGTCATATTTACCTCAGAAAACCCACATCAACTCGTTAGTCAGATAGAAAAAAATAACTCCAGAGAGGAGCATTTTGCTAAATATATACACTATATTACATATGCATTATAATCTTAAAGTTCTTCAATATTTAATAAATCTGGCAAGTTTTTATGACATTTAAATGTTTATACTTCATATAATCTTCTTATTATAAAAATAAATAAAAGTGTAATTTAAGTGATTCATTCATTATTATCTTCATATTTGAATAAATCTGGCAAATTTTTATGACAGCCACCATTTAAATGTTTATATTTCATATAATCTTCTTATTATAAAAATAAATAAAAGTGTAATTTAAACGATTCATTCATTATTACCTTCCTATTTGGCTAATGAAGCCTAGTAGGCTACAACTAGACTCCCATAGTTTACAGCATTAGTTAAGAGATTTAATTCCCTTAAGAAAAATTGGCATTTATTGTAACTGATATCCAAAATAATCGATATTGAATCGAATCGTAATCGAATCGAATTGTGAAATTTGTCTCAATACCCAGCCTTACTAACTACTGCAACAACATTTAACACACTCAAATCCCGTTTAGTGTGATTGTGTAACTGTTAGAGCAAGTGAAGCAGAACTGTTACTTCAAGTTTAATTCCTCTAATAAACTGACCTGTGAGTATTAAAGGATAATTCTGATATTTAACACCTTGAGTCTATTTTGTAGTTTGTTTTGAATGAAATAGAGTTGTGGACTTAGAAATTTTGAAATTGGGTCCTGTCTCGACTTTTTGACTTTTTTAGAATCGCCTGTGACAGCGTTATACTGGTTGTCTATGGGCATGCACAAACATGTCCATAAAACAACCCTTAACGTTCATTTTCAAAACTGTGCAACTCACCAAGTGGTTGGTGGTGTTCGTTGATGTTCCGAAACAAGTAGCGTAGCGAAATACCGTTTCTGTCGTGTTTTATGTGTCATTTTTTTAAAAATCGCATTGATGTCTGCTGGAGGACTCAGTGCTCGTTGATATTACTGCACTAGCTACCGGAAAAGGAAAGGGGTCTGTTTACATTTGATTGTAGTCTTTTCGCTCGGTTCTCCGTCTCTCAGAAGGCTAGCGTGAGCAGAGCAACTGTGCTCCCTGACTTTTTTTTACGGTGCGCTATAGTGTTGGGCGATATGCTCCATTTTCATATCGTCCTATCGTCAGCCTGTGAGATCGGCGATACATGATATTATCGTGAGGGGGCGGGGCTAACTTATTTGATTATTAACTTGATTATTTAGCCTACTCATTAATTTGCTTGTTTTATTAGCCTACTTCGTTTTATATACGAGAATCTTTTTTCTATTTTGCTAGCAAAGGTGGAGTGTTTATTAATAGGATCAGGTTATTTCCTGGTATAGTGAGGTAAAAAAAAGAGATCCTAATCCTTTTGTTTGTCAACGGGAAATTTACGGACACATTAGCCTATCCTCATGCCGTTACATGCAGCATTTTGACTAGGGTCTATTTCTGCACGAGATGAAAACACGTTTTAATAATTTCTTGGGTCAGAAAAAGTCTTGGGTCTTCAGCACGAAGTACGCGGGTTAATGTGTTTTAAATGCCGATAGAAACAAAAGGGCCAAACGTCTAGCTGAGTCGATCGGTTTATACTTATACTTATGACTTGACTCTGATAAAGGAAACGTTTACATGACCACATGCATTGTCAAGTTTATTCAACATAATCGGGTTAAGAACGTCGTCGCATGTAAACGCGCTCAATCTCTGAAAGTGAAAGTAAAAACGGACTGCTTTCGGCATCTGCATTAACGCCGCGTTCCCTCAGAGACGACGATGATAACGGTAACTATAATACTATTTTAGTGATATTAATATTAATACTATTTAGTAATTGTATTGTTTTTAGTGTTAGTGTCATTAAACGTTTTGTTAATGTGTTACGGAAACAAATACTTTACATCTTTACAAATACATCTTGGATCTGTAGGAAACAGAATTTTGCGTCTGTTAAAACGAGCACACTTGATAATTTGTGAATGGATCACCTTGCAATTAAATTTTGATGTGGGATGTTTTTTAGTTTGTTTTAAAAACATTCTCTTAGAGGAGTCCTCATTAGTGCGTGTGTTGTTGCAATTGTTATGAGGTGATGTCGTTGTAAATTTAGGCAAGGCAAATTAATTGTAGTTCCTAATATTCATTTAATAACAATACTAGCTTTATAATAATAATAATAGGCCTAATAATAATAATTTAATACATTATGGTAAAACGAGCCAATTATCGTAGTGATATCGTCAAAGGCATCTGCCATCGGCGATATGTCAGACTATCGTCGATACACGATACTATCGTCTATCGGCACAACCCTAGTGCGCTAGACACCGTTTTCCGTACAGCGTCCTGGTTGTCGCCATCAAGTGGTCGGGAGTGTGCTAACGCTTCAGACTCAAATATCGAGCGGAAGTTTATACGCGGTTGTGAGGTATCTGAATAAATAGTTCTACAATAGCAAACAACACGGATTGAAAGCATACATAACGCCGATATATTTGTTTTTAATCATCAACGAACACCACCAGCCACTCGGTGAGTTGCACAGTTTTGAAAATGAACGTTAAGGATTGTTTTAAGGACATGTTTGTGCATGTCCATAGACATCCAGTCTAAAGCTCTCACAGGCGATTCTAAAAAAGTCAAAAAGTCGAAACAGGACCCATTGTCAAAATTTCTAAGTCCACCACTCTATTTCATTCAAAACAAACTACAAAATAGACTCAAGGTGTTAAATACCGGAATTATCCTTTAATTCAGCACTTGTGTGTAGTTTGGTAGAATGAAATGTCCTTATTCCTTTATATCCGCGGGCGTTGTGTGTGGTGCTGGTATACGTCTAGCAATCGCGCCCTGCTTCATACCACAGTCTGTATTCACTCATCCATAAAAGATCCATCAGCTTGACGACAGGATCCATAAGTCCGCTTAATTCGGAATATACGTCATCAATACGCCTTTGTTATTGTAAGAGGTTAGCGACCCCTTGTGGTGAAAAATCCTGCATATTATACCTTTAAAGAAGAAAAAGAAGCCTGTTTTAGGCTTAACAGTTAAGTTACTTGACAGTAAAGTATGCAACATAAATAAATAAATAAATAAACAATGCAATTGTTTTTTTTCCACATAATGAGAATGAGATTTTTCCAGATTAGAGTAATGAGAATTTCAGTGCAGTTTATATTTTCCCCAAATC